CTGTTGCTGTTCCAGCCATGTGTGGATGACAATGTTCAGCAAGGTTTTACTTGCATGTGATGCTAATAACACAGTTTAATAATTTCCACATTCCGTTGTATTGCCTTTTTGAGGTGTTGTTTTGTTTTTGTTTTTTTTTTTTTAGTTGGAAATACTACTGATGCTTTCCAATCAGTTGGCCAGATAGCTGTCTTCCAAATTTATTGACGTAGACTGGAGATGTATATCCAGGGATGCATCTCCAGGGATGCATCTGTTTGTTGAAACACTTTATCTGGTATCCCATCAATTCCTAGAATCATCAGGATAGATATAGAAAGATAATAGTTGTTAATTATTTCTTTATATTGGGATCCAAAATTAACAACCATGTTAGCAATGGCTAAGAGGTCAAAAGACAAGCTGCATTGGGAAGTCTTCTGTCAATGATCTCTCCAAAGTTTTAAAGAACGAGATTCTCAGTTTAAAGACTAAGGTGCATTTAATAATCCAAGCCATGGCATTTTCACCTGCCTTCTATGCATCTTAAAATGGACAGTGAATAAAGATGACTGAAGAAGAATCCATGCCTTTGAATTATGATGTTGAAGAAGAATATTACATATCTCACAGACTGCCAAAGAACAAACAAATCTATCTGGAAGGAAATGCTACAGAGCGCTTCTTATAGGCAAGAAGAGTGAAACATCATCTCATTTACTTTGGACATATTTTCAAGAAGAACTAGTCCTTGAATAAAGACATCATGCTGGGAAAGGTAAAAGTTGAATGAATGAAAGAGGAAAAGCTTTAATTAGATGGATTGACATGATGACTAGCAAAATGAGCTAGCTCAAACATTACAGAAATCATGAAGATTGTACAGGATAGGGCAAGGTCCATATTTCTTGTTTATAGGGTCATCGTGGTTCACAGAGATTAATGCTTTCTGCTATAAAACTGATAAATCTAGATTATCAGATCTAATGGAATCAAGACATGCTTCTGATTGATGTGCACTTTCAAAAGCTACTTTTGGAGCAGGATCTTGTAAGTTAGATTTTTTTTTTATAAAAAGCAAACATTAAGACTTAGAATCTTATAAATAATGTAGTTTTTATTTTTTAAAAAAAATTAATTGTAGTATGCCAAAAAAAGATACATTTACAGAATGCTTTTATAAACTATAACCATTCTACCTTTATAATTAAGTACATTGTAACAATGACACTTAAAATTCTTTTAGTGTATTATGAAAAATAAGCAAAAAAAATTAAGAGAATGTACTTATCGGTGAGTATTTTTATGCTTGATGCTTACTGCATTTTTGTTTTTCAATTATACTGTCTTTTATGTTTACAGCAAAAATAAATAAAAATTAATAGGTTGTAAATTATATTTTCCTTCAATACCATAAGGTACATGACTATCAAAGCTGATATTGAACATAAACAAATTGATACAATTCAGTACTCTGATAAAATTCATATTCAAATAAGTTACTTTAAACTGTATACAATACTACTTTATGTTCCATAACATCTTTAAAATAAATTTTACACCAAAATGGCTCTTCAAACATAAAAAGTGCAATTACAGAGTGCAAAAAAAGCAAAGAGAAAACAACACTATATTACATTAAACATCATCCAGTTTGAATAACAGATGTTTCAGATAAAAATCATTCCTTAGTTCAGAAACACTATACAAATTACAACTCCTATTTCCCCATATGAATGACAGTAAAAAACATGCAGAAACAATGGGCAACAAAGTAATCCAGAAAATAATATTGCAGCAATAATGACAAAATTGATCAGATGTGAGATTTTTTTTTTAAACTGAATTAATTTGGAAGGAGGAGTGGCATCCACTTTCACAATAGCTTGCGTCCAGAAACCCTTTGAACCTGGAGAGAGGATGAAAAGACTCTCCTTCATAGTGTCGCTATGAGTTGCCTGTGACTCCACGACACTTAACAACAACTGAATTAATAGAAATTAGACAGTAATCTCATTTGCTGTAGAAAAATAGACACACGATGGGAGTTCAATTTAATGAGCTCTCTTAAGGATTCAAAAATAAAAACTCTTTTAGGAAAACTTGTTCATATATAAGTGAATTGCGGTATATATTGTTTTGGTTGTTGTTTACCACTGAGTGGGAACCGACCCGTAGCTGACCCGCTGGAGGGTTTTAGAGGCATATAATTAATTGCAGGGGAGGAGATTGTACATCCCTCTCCTGAAGAGTAGCTGATGGCTTCAAACCACATGCCTTCTGTATTGCAGCACAACTTCTTGCCATTAGGCTACTAGAGCTCACTGGACAGTATATATTAGTATGTGTATATATATTCATTTTCTTTGAAAATGCTCAAAAATGTAACTGAAAATAAGATTTCCTTTACATACAGAATTCTCAGTAGGTATGAGGTGTTGTTACACATCATACCATGTATGTTTTTACACGTTTGATTTCTTGCATATCTTATGCTTTTGACTTCATACAGTTGGATTATCTCCAACACAGAAACATCTTTATAGATTCTATCGATTTTTATAATGTTTTTCTTAATTTGATAATTTGTTTTTCTTTTATATATAGATTGATAGGGCAAGAAATTGTGATTAATGGTTGATTGAGCTCAAAAGATATATATATGTAAATAT